GTTGGAATGGGGATTGGGATTCAAGATTGGTGTTGGGATTGGGTTGGGATTGGGGATTGGGGATTGGGGTTTGGGTTTTGGATTGGGGATTGGGGATTGGGGATTGGGGATTGGGTTTGGGGTTGGGGTTGGGATTCAGGATTGGGGTTGGGATTCGGGATTGGGGTTGGGGTTGAGATTGGGATTCGGGATTGGGGTTGGGATTGGGGATTGGGGATTGGAGATTGGAGATTGGAGATTGGGGATTGGGGATTGGGGATTGGGTTTGGGGTTGGGATTCAGGATTGGGGATTGGGGATTGGGGATTGGGTTTGGGGTTGGGGTTGGGATTCGGGATTGGGGTTGGGATGGGGATTGGGATTGGGGATTGTTTGGGGTTGGGATTCGGGATTGGGATTGGGGATTGGGGATTGGGTTTGGGGTTGGGGTTGGGATGGGGATTGGGATTGGGGATTGTTTGGGGTTGGGATTCGGGATTGGGGTTCGGTTTGGGATTGGGATTCGGGATTTGCATTGGGGTTCGGTTTGGGATTGGGGTCAAACGTGACCCCAGAAGTTCCCCACCGTTCCTCTGTGCCCCCTCCGCACCCCAAATCCCCCCAAAGCCGGGCCCGGCACTGGGATTCCCCCGGGAACGACTCCGGGCGGGCTGCCGGGCGTTGGGGTGTCCCCAGTGTCCCCTGGGGTGTCCCCAGTGTCCCCCTGGGTGTCCCCAGTGTCCCCTCGGGGTGACCCCAGTGTCCCCCAGGGGTGTCCCCAGTGTCCCCGGGGTGTCCCCAGTGTCCCCCGGGTGTCCCCAATGTCCCAATGTCCCCAGTGTCCCCCAGGGGTGTCCCCCGGGTGTCCCAAATGTCCCCAGTGTCCCCTTGGGGTGTCCCCAGTGTCCCTCGGGTGTCCCCCGGGTGTCCCCAATATCCCCCGGGTGTCCCCAGTGTCCCAATGTCCCCAATGTCCCCTTGGGGTGTCCCCCGGGTGTCCCCCGGGTGTCCCCAGTGTCCCTCGGGTGTCCCCAATGTCCCCCGGGTGTCCCCAATGTCTCCTGGGTTTCCCCAATGTCCCCCGGGTGTCCCCAATGTCCCCAGTGTCCCCCAGGGGTGTCCCCAATGTCCCTCGGGGTGTCCCCAATGTCCCCAGTGTCTCCTGGGTGTCCCCAGTGTCCCCTTGGGGTGTCCCCAGTGTCCCTCGGGTGTCCCCCGGGTGTCCCCAGGGGTGTCCCCCGGGTGTCCCCAGTGTCCCCTCGGGGTGTCCCCAATGTCCCCGGGGTGTCCCCAGTGTCCCCCGGGTGTCCCCAATGTCCCAATGTCTCCTGGGTGTCCCCAGTGTCCCCTCGGGGTGTCCCCAGTGTCCCTCGGGTGTCCCCCGGGTGTCCCCAGGGGTGTCCCCCGGGTGTCCCCAGTGTCCCCTCGGGGTGTCCCCAGTGTCCCCAGTGTCCCCGTGTCCCCCGGGTGTCTCCAATGTCCCAGTATCCCCCTCGGGGTGTCCCCAGTGTCCCCTCGGGGTGTCCCCAGTGTCCCCGTGTCCCCCAGGTCCTGAGCAACAGCAACCAGCTGTACCTCAAGTCGGTGACGCAGGCCGACGCCGGCCAGTACGTGTGCAAGGCCATCGTGCCACGGATCGGCGTGGGCGAGAGGGAGGTCACCCTCTTCGTCAACGGTCAGCCCAAAAAAACCCCAAATCCCCCCAAAAACCCCAAATCCTCCCAAAAAAACCCAAATCCTCCCAAAAAAACCCAAATCCCCCCAAAAACCCCAAATCCTCCCAAAAAACCCAAATCCCCCCCCCAAAAAAACCCAAATCCCCTCGGGACACCAGAGCACCCCACCGCAGCGACCCCC